AGGAAAAAAACCTATGGTGAAACATTTAAGTTTCACTACTAACAAAAAAGACCCTGAGGAAGTTACGTATGCCCTAAAAGATGACCTTTGCTGGTGGAGCCTTGCTGCAGGGACAGATCCAGGGGCAAGTTCCCTACATAACCTTACGCTACACTAATATTTCCCAGTGGACCATCAATTTGTAAATTCCTTTTCATACCCCATTGAGATATTTGATGTTGCCTTGGCAATCATTGTATTTCTTTTCTCTCTCCAAAAGAGATATATGGTATATGATGCTTCAGATAATTTGAACATGCAAGCTCCCCAAGGAGCCGAGTTATAGTTGTCCCAAGTTCTCTCTCCAAAAGAGATATATGGTATATGATGCTTAAGATAATTTGAACATGTAAGCTCCCCAAGGAGCAGAGTTATAGTTCTCTCTCCAAGAGACATATATGGCATATGATGCTTCAGATAATTTGAACATGCAAGCTCCCCATGGAGCCGAGTTATAGTTGTCCTAAGTTCTCTCTCCAAGAGAGATATATGGCATATGATGCTTGAGATAATTTTAACATGTAAGCTCCCCAAGGAGCAGAGTTATAGTTCTCTCTCCAAGAGAGATATATGGTATATGATAAATCAGATAATTTTAACATGCAAGCTCCCCAAGGAGCGGAGTTATAGTTCTCTCTCCAAGAGAGATATATGGCATATGATGCTTCAGATAATTTGAACATGCAAGCTCCCCAAGGAGCCGAGTTATAGTCCCCCGTCACTGCCACCCAAGATCTGCCCCCTGGATGGACATAGGGATATAACAGATCCCATAGTCCAGCTGGTCTTGCATTGGGGATGTAGGGATATAGAAGATCCCATCACCCATCTTGAGGACATCGGGATATAGATGATCCCATAGTCCTTTAATAGAGTTGGACTTGCTCAATTTGAGCCGATGACCTGTAAAAGACCACCACCCCGCACAATCACAACATGTAGCTGAACCATTCTGGGAAAATGCTGCGAACAGTGAACTTTGGCAGACATCACAAAAATCAAGTTTAATTCCGCACCAAGTTTTCAAACTCAATTAACACCAATCAATTTTTTTTCTCAATTTTTTCCTTGACAAAAGTGTCATCTAGCTACCAAACTTGACAAAATACTCGAAAAATGCTTTGAATCCCCAAAATGATTCAGAAGCAAACTTGAACAAAAGTGTTTCAACTTTGCTTGGATACAAAAATAAAGGGTTACTTTACCAGGCCTGGTTGCCATGATCCGGGGTTCTTGTGCATGTTCACGCCTGTAAGAAATGGTTACCTCACCTTATGAACATGCAAGTCTTGAATTCCCCGGCCTCTACTTGTGATGACCCATCTCCCTGTTGTACCATTTTCATCAACAATCCCCTCTGTTAAATCTGATGAATCTTGCAATCCGGGGGTCTTGTGCATGTTCACAGCTGCAAAAAATGGTTACCTCACCTTAGTGAACATGCAATCTTGTCCCCCGGCCTCTACTTCGTCTGTCCACTACTTCCGAGCAGATGCTGAAACAAAATCAAGCAAGATCAATCAAGCACTGAGGGATTTGAAAGGTATAAAGGACACTCAGTGGCGTGATGAAGGAATTGGCTTGCAAAACTTTTTTCGGTGATAACTTACCTAGTAGTAAACTTCCACTTTCTTTGCCTCCACTGATTCAGCTTGCTCTTGGTAGAAGTAGCTTGAGCGTGGTCCCTGTAGAAATGAAAAGAATTCCTTTTACTTTAAGAGACAAATGAGATAGCAAGAAAATTACTCACCAGGGATATCGTGTAAAAACAGCATCTTAGTAGCATATCAGCGGTGACTGATCCAAGCAAGCACAGGGTACATTTTGAGTGCTTAAAGTACATTTCAAAGCTGACCCCCCCCAAAAAAGCTAGATATTTAGGCTCAAAATTTTAGAAATCTTTATAGCTCATTTTTTTTTCTCGTGACATCTCGGGTAAAATATTTTGCACTTCTATCTGAACTTAATGTGATTCTTTCTTTGGTACACACACTGCGTGAATAGAAAGTAGGTCGGGGAAAAATCAGATAAAATAAAAAAATCCAAATACATTGTTTTATTGCATTCATCATCAAATATCAAACAAATATTGACCACTTCACCTCATGAAATGATGCTAAATGGATCACCTCAGGCGACTAATTTTACTGCACCACAAGATAAAGCAGTCAATATTTGTTTGACAACACCTCTTCCAAAGATTCTGATTTAAGTGGCGACTGATTATTTTATATATTAAATGCATGTCTATTTGAAAAAGAAATTAGCTGAAAATTTACCAGTACTTATCCAAACTACCTCTTCATAAAATGGGTTAACTCACATGTAGCTCTGAACCAGTGTGCACAGTATACTGTTGCACATAATACCTGTGGTCATGCGCACAGTTCTTTGGTCCATATACAGGTTTAGCAGTTTGGCTGCTATGAGTACAGTTCGTAGCCACTCCAAAATACAGAATCTGTGGGCGAAGTGCTGAACAAAGACTGATTTTTTGTAAATAATACTCACCTTTATGGGTATTCCTTGAAGTTGAACGAGAGTAACTTCAGTAGAACCGATTCCAGACATCATAAGCTAATTTCTTTCCAGTATATCGTTCCGAGTCCTCTCTTCCTTACTAATATCGTTCGTTCATTTTCTCTCAGACAGCTGTCTCTTTTCAAACACTGGTTTGTTTCATTGTCCATGACTTCCTTTTAAAACCTCAAAGTCAACTTGAAGACAGAGTCCACTGCAGCATGTGTTGTTGATTTCCCTCGTTTATTGAAGACTATGCCTTTATTTTATCCAGGGAACCTGCACAGTTAAATTGAATCTCTCCATGGTTGGACTTCAAAGAAAGTTTACGAAAAAGAAAACTGCCCTGTTGGGGCAGTGATTTGAAAAGTTTTTGAAATTTTTATGACTTAGAATGTGCTGTTGATTTTTGAACTCAAAAGAGTACCATGCGCAGTGAAGTTCGTAAACAGCACGCATCTTTTTAAAAATCTTTTACAGCATTTAGACAGATCACACTCTTCATTATAATTAGGAAATGGGTAACTGGTAGATGGTTTTTTAAGGGGTAATGGCTTGTTATTACATATTTGTTAATAGTTGGGGGTTAGTAGAGGTTTATACAGTTAATAGGATTGTTTGTTATCGTTAGTGGTCGGGGGTTAGTTGAGGTTCATACAGTTAATGGTTAATGGGATTGTTTGATGGTTGGGGGATGGTTGAGGTTGGCATGGTTAATGGGATTGTTTTTATGGCTGTGAAGAAATGATCTGAAAATACCGTTACTAGCATAATGACTCGATTGATGCATAGCGAGTCAAAATATCAGAAAGCACAATTAGCTTATTTTAGAAATAGACTATTATCAAGTTCATTTTGTTCCATGTGGCAGGCTAACCCTGGATAATGGCAAGTTCATTGATACGTGATCTTGTATGACTGTAGGTCTATTGTTTCACTTCCAGTTCAAGTGGTAGAATCGTGTCGTATACGGTTTGTGTATGAGGGCATCTTCACTGCTGATTCTTCCTGCAAGCTACATGCGTCAGTGTTGGTTCCAACCTCCCCTTGCTGATTCAATGGTGTGTAGGAATCATCTGTAAAAGAACCAAATCCAAACTTTAAAATCATTTTTCGTAAAAAATTCTGGACTCATGCGCCGCTTTCCAGACATCGTAACTATCATGGCGGCCTCCACTTCGTCAAAATCGCCTGAAGTATAGCGCATGAAATATTCCCCAATCCATCAAAACCTACGGCACGCTCAACCTTCAATCACACATCAAATGATTTGTAGGGAAGCGTTTCAAAAATTGGTGCTTAAAAATTGCAAAATAGTTCGGGGATGGTGGCGCACGAGGACGGAATATTTGTCACACCCTGTCGTATGCCTCATCATTTGTGGTCTGAAAAATTCAAAATGTTTTCTATATAAATGCTTTAATATTTTCATTGCCAAATTTGACTTTTTTAAGACATCCAGTCACTTTTTAAAAGGCCGATAAACTGCTGCAAAGGAAACTAGTAATATCTCACCCAGAACTTAGCCTAGGCTACCGTGACGAAGTGAACGAGTCGCAGTCAAAATTTAATTTCGTGCTAAAAGCAGTCGGTGTTTCAAACTTTAATTAGTCCAGTGTACCCTTTAAACAGTAAACTATGCCACTTCTACTTGAGAGGGTCAAAACAGCTCCGTTCGACTTAAAAACGGCAAACTTACTTTGGCTGTAAAAATGGCGTAGAGAAACTAAAGCTCCTTCATGTTGGTGTAGGTTGACGCATATGGATGTGCCCTGTGTGCCAAATGAAGCTCATCCACAAAGCCCGCGAATTTATGAATGCGCGTCACCGGTCACCACGTGTTGATTTCATTGTTATGCAATTACACTGGTTCCCGTTCCTCACTCACTCTTACTTTGAACGCATTGCGGAGGAAACCAGTCATTGCGTAGTTCAAATTCGATTGATTGGATAACCTATTTGTCGAGTAAATTTTTATAAAAGTTCCCTTTGGCCGGTCCTTTTTTTAATTTGTTGAATTATAAACCCACAGCTCTGAATAATAATAGCTTACAAAGAAAAAATAATACGAAATTCGTATTTTAACACAATGTAAGATTACGTCAGCCTTCAGAACAGCGCCCCCCGAGTGTAAGGGCGTGGTGGTCAGTTATTCCCGTACGTGCATGTACACGTCTTACACCCGCATGTTCCCCTTCACTCCAAGTGAAAGGAGTTTGTGCGCAGGCGCTAAATTCTGCAAAGTTGTGCATATGGTCACTTTCTGTTATGTTGCTGTTAACATGTAATTGCCAAGTCAAGCCAGCAAACGACCATATCAAATCCATCTCCGGAGATCTTCCACATTGTGGGAAAGTTTGCTGAATTTATACCTGGGAATATAATCATGCTTCAGATTTTATTTTGTGATGTGCTTCTTGCTAATCATAGGCCTAAGTGAAATTTCGGAGAAAATGTGGTGAAAAAAAGACTGTATCGGCAAGTTACATTTCCGAACGGAAAAAAATGGTAATTTGTGTCGGATCTTGTGCAACTGGGTTCATAATATGGGTGGTCTAATTTGTCTATTCAATATGTAGTTATTAGGTTATCTCCGTAAACTTTGTATATACATGTAGTTTGTTCAAATAAATTATGGTCTCCATCCGCGGAACGGTGTCCAGCGTCGTCGTCTGCCTCGAATCCACAGCAAAGAGGTGGTGCACAAAGGCGTGAGAGTGAACACATACGTCCACGGAACTCAGGGATCTGTAGTGGGTACGTTAGTGAAAAAAATGAGCGTATAACCCACTCGTGGCAACACTGTCACGTGACAAACTTTGTGCGTGGACGCATAATTGGTTTCTTTCTTTCCTTCTTTCTTTCATTTTACTCAGAGAAATTAAAAAAAAAAATCAAAACAGAGGTAAAGGGGTCATGATTTTAAAAAGGACTACAAAAATCTTAATAAAACTTACAAGTAATGAGAAGTATTATTAAAATAGTAGTTTATAAACTGGCAAAAATGATGCCACAAGGGCGTGGACAAGACACTTCAGTATACTTTGAGGACAAAGGGGACCAATCACTGGCGGCGGAACCCGGGGGGCGGGGTTGCCCCACCTTTGATAAGGTAGTAATTTTGCCTCCCTCCCACTTTATAGGCCTGCCAGCCGTTGGAGGAATATGTGTACATTGCAACGTCAATCTTTTCAGTCTAATGGCCGCCCCCCACTTTTAAAACCGATCCCGGACGCAGTGGGGACCATGTACCAACCGATTAACATGCCAGGCAAAACACCCTGCATTGTTGTTAGATACCAAAGCAGGCACTGTGTCCCAAGAATGTTCTTAGAGGCGATAGGCCTACTGTGTTCTGTCACGGGCGCACGAAAGGTGGCATAAACATCACATAAAGCTATATAACTCTATGAAAAGTGATCACTATTACTATTCGCGGGGACCCTATGTCAATCCGACCCAAGCAGTTCAAATTGTACACGATGCGTTCAGGAATACGATTAAAATTGGGTACCCCGTGAATACGGTCTTCAAAGCGATTGCGCATGCGGATAACTTCACCAACCACGGACCCCAGACGCCAGCTAGCTAGCTACTTTTGTGTATGTGGTAGGGAGTGGGACCAGTCTGCATGTGTAGAATCCTACAAGCTACATGTGGTAAGAAAATTTCTGGTCGCACACCCGAAGGTCCCACGGAAAATGGCAGAGATTTCGGAGAGTCAGAAAGGGCCTGAAATGTCCTCTGCTCCCACAGATAATTTCACGAATTTGGACGTGGATTTGTCACTTGATGACGTCACGGTAATATGATTTGAAATTTACATGTATATGGTAAAGCGAGAAATTATATTTTTACTTAGGGTTTGGCCTCGACGTGTTCACCCATATGACATATATGAGCATTGCGTTCCCCGCCTCTGTTCCCACCCAGTCCTTGCCAAGCTCCGCCTTTGTGCTGGCACTTGTCAGTTTATTACATGTAGGCCCTACATCGAATTCAAGGAGCTTGCTTGGCCATGATTTAGATTATTACTGAATTTACCTAATCATGAATTTTGAAGTAGGCAACTGGCTTTTTCCTCAGGTAGAAGTCATGATGTATCATGGAAGAAGCTTGGCCCACTTCCTCAACAGTAACTAGGGGCCGGGCCTAAGGTACAACTCAGCGTAAGCCTTTAATACCATGGGGCCATCTTTTTGATGGCTCAGTATGCTATGGCATTTTGAAATGTGCCCTGTAAATGTCAGGTGATTGTACCAGATAAAACGTCTGTTTGCGCTCGCTTAAGCAAATCTTCCTAGGCTAAAGACCCTTACATTGAAATTCTAACTGGGCCCTATATCAAACTACCGAGTTCGAGTATAGGCGTATTTTGTAGTAGGCCTATTTAACCTATATTATTGTCAAAAAATAAGTTTTTTTCTGCCATCCTCACCTCTCATCCCTCTATGATCCGCACATTTCTGCATTCTCTTATGACCGTACATCACGTGACAAAACAGACGCAGCGTATTTGCGTAACTAATGTTTATTGTTATTTATGTTTAATGTTTATTCCAATTTCTAACTACTCTTGTTAAGATTATGTATAAAGACATCTTTGAAATCTGTGGTCAGGGAACCACCCCAATCACATATCGGCTCAACCATTTTGGAAGCAGGGGAGGGGCAATATCAGGGCGTGCGATACGCGCTGCATTATCAGGCTAGCTGTTTACGCGCATTTAAAATGTTGAGAAATATGTACTTCAGGGAGTGATAATACTTTGTGAAGTTGTGGGACTAATAAAGTGTCTGTTTTCCATGTAATTCGGGGATTTTTTGATTGCAAGTCACATGGCACTCTTTAAAGCCCTATATCTCCTGAAGTACATGTGGCATTGGGTTGAAACTTTGCAGATAGCTCGAAAGGGAAGGGTTATAGACGAAAATTGACCTCATGTAATGATGACCTCATCAAGCGACAAGTCATGTGACATTAACCCGAACTACCCCAAACCTGCTTTACTCCAACAGCAGGTTTTGTGAGGTTTTGGCAGGTTTGGTACCGTACCTGGTGAACTTGTTGAATTTTGTGAGACTAGGGATTAAAGGCCCAGGGAGATGGTGTTGGATTCTGTGTGAGTTGGGACACACAGGTTTCATTGTGTGCAGTGTCTGGCCTGCTGTACCAACTGTTGGACTATGCATGATTTTGTCAGGTTTGGTACCACTTCAGTGCAAGTCATCCTATTCTGCAAAGACCAATCCATACCATATCACTCAAATCCCAACAGATTCAGTTTGTTGGAGTTTATCAAGTTGGTACAGTGACCTGCATGTACATGTACAAGTACATAGACAAGTACATGTACATGCACCTGTTGGATTTTGTGAGGTGCAGTATGCTTTCTAAATTCTAGTGCAAGAGCCTGGGGGGGTAGGGTTAAAGGTGCAGTGTTTAACGCTAAACCTTCCGCAACCACACAGAATTAAACTGTAATAAAGTGTTTAATTCTGTGGGGATGGGTCTGGTAGGCCCATAACAGCTGGCTTTTGCATTGGGTTTGGCATACCTCAGAAAAACAAAGTCCAACAGCCTCTGTGCACAAAGTCCCATATGGGTGTTTAACTTTGTGTGAATGGGGAAGGTTGGGGCCAGCAACCCTTGGGAGTTAGGGTTAAAGCCCTATATCTCCCAGAATCCATGTGCGATTGAATTAAAACTTTGCAGATAGCTGGAAAGAGAAGTGTTATTGATGAAAATAATGTGACATTTAACGTCCATTCTTTAAAGCCCTATTCTCGTTTTCATAAAAAACATTCAAAACGCGGGAAAGCCTTGTGCTCTATTCTTGAACAGGCATAACCTTCTTGTTTGAACTTCCACATCTCTTGCTTCTAGGATTACTTATAATACTCGCCAAGGTCTGTAAGTTTGGATATGCCAAAGAAACTTGATGTGCATGTGCAGTGAAAGTGCAATTCAGGGCTGAGGAAGATACATGTACTTAAGTGCAAGTAAAAAGAAACCATGAAGTTTAAAGGTTGGCTGCTCCAACTGCACCTTTAAACACCTCATAGGATTGAGATGACAAGGTGCTTCTGGGAAGGGCATTCCACCAAGCTACAGTGTGAGGGAAGAAAGAATATGACAGAGCTGGATTTGAGCCAGTATCTGTTGATATTTGTTTGGGTGAAGGAACCAGTGGAGTGAGATATGTGTAGGGGTCAGGATTGACAGCAACAATCTGGTGTTGGATCATTTGCCCAAAAAATGACGTCTTTCTTTTAGGGAGGAGCATTGGAGTTCCTTTCCAACAGAACCAGTTACACATACATTTAACTGCAAATTGAATCAGTTTAGTACCTGAAACAATTTCTTACATGAACCTACATGTGTGTGTAATAAATTATCCACTTTTCAGATACCATTTAATAGGAAGCAGAACTACAGGTAGTTTTTAGGCTGTAAGGTTTCTCTCACTCAGATTGCGTACCAACTACGGTCATTTGCAAAAATTTAAGACCACCTGGAATCTTATTGGTATTTCTGTCACTCGGCCTGCATTATATTCTCTCACTGACTGATGTTTTACAGTGGTGCACAACATCAGTGTAGTGCTGTATACCCATTTGAATGAAACCTTTTTGCAAAGGCAGTTGTTGTGTGACATTTTGTCTGTAAGGTAGCATGGGTAAAAAGGCCAGTCTAAGTAATCAGAAATAAGGGAGGGCCCACGAAATATAANAGATAACTTCACCAACCACGGACCCCAGACGCCGGCTAGCTAGCTACGTTAGCGTATGTGGTAGGGAGTGGGACCAGTCTGCATGTGTAGAATCCTACAAGCTACATGTGGTAAGAAAATTTCTGGTCGCCCACCCGAAGGTCGCACGGAAAATGGCAGAGACTTCGGAGAGTCAGAAAGGGCCTGAAATGTCCTCTGCTCCCACAGATAATTTCACGAATTTGGACGTGGATTTGTCACTTGATGACGTCACGGTAATATGATTTGAAATTTTCATGTATATGGTAAAGCGAGAAATTATATTTTTACTTAGGGTTTGGCCTCAACGTGTTCACCCATATGACATGTATGAATGAGCATTGCGTGCTCTGCCTCAGTTCCCCCCCCCAGTCCTTGCCAAGCTCCGCCTTTGTGCTGGCACTTGTCAGTTTATTACATGTAGGCCCTGCATCAAATTCAAGGAGCTTGCTTGGCCATGATTTAGATTATTACTGAATTTACCTAATCATGAATTTTGAAGTAGGCAACTGGCTTTCTCTTCAGGCAGAAGTCATGATGTATCATGGAAGAAGCTTGGCCTACTTCCTCAACAGTAACTAGGGGCCAGGCTTAATGTACAACTCAGCGTAGGCCTTTAATACCATGGGGCCATCTTTTTGATGGCTCCGTATGCCATGGCATTTTGAAATGTGCCCTGTAAATGTCAGGTGATTGTACCAGATAAAACATCTGTTTGCGCTCGCTCAAGCAAATCTTCCCCTAGGCTAAAGACCCTTACATTGAAATTCTAACTAGGCCCTACATCGAACTACCGGGTTCGAGTGGAGGCCTATTTTGTAGTAGGCCTATTTAATCTATATTATTGTAAAAAAATGAGTTTTTTTCTGCCATCCTCACCTCTCATCCCTCTGATCCGCACACATCTGCATTCTCTTATGACCGTACATCACGTGACAAAACAGACGCAGCGTATTTGCGCAACTAATATTTCTGTTGCTTTGGATACCAGTCCCGAGAATTCCAATTTCTAACTACTCTCGTTAAGATTATGCATAAAGACATCTTTGAAATCTGTGGTCAGGGAACCACCCCAATCACATATCGGCTCAACCATTTTGGAAGTGGGGGAGGGGCAATATCAGGGCGTGCGATACACGCTGCGTTATCAGGCTAGCTGTTTACGCATGTTTAAAATGTTGAGAAATATGTACTTCAGGGAGTGATAATACTTGGTGAAGTTGTGGGACTAATAAAGTGTCTGTTTTCCATGTAATTCGGGGATTTTTTGATTGCAAGTCACATGGCACTCTTTAAAGCCCTATATCTCCTGAAGTACATGTGGCATCGGGTTGAAACTTTGCAGATAGCTCGAAAGGGAAGGGTTATAGACGAAAATTGACCTCATGTAATGATGACCTCATCAAGCGACAAGTCATGTGACATTGACCCGAACTACCCCAAACCTGCCCTACTCCAACAGCAGGTTTTGTGAGGTTTTGGCATGTTTGGTACCGTACCTGATGAACTTGTTGAATTTTGTGAGACTACGGATT